GAGACAGCGATTTTGGAGACAGGTGGAGTTTAGTGTACCAGTAGCATGATGAGGTGGTTCAGAAGAAGTTGTGTGTAAATGGCGTCTTCCAATCTTATGCTGATGTACAAGGCCTTCACTGGTAAGCACTAGGAGGGGGGGGGGGGGGAATCTTAGGTTACCCAATGGGAGATACAAAGTAGGTCAGGAAGATGTCGCCGTCGTGATTAGGTGGCGACAATATGATGGACGGCCGCCAATTCGCCAAGCTATGCAAAGACTGTCAAATCGTCGAGAAAGGGAGTCTCAGCGTGAACGATATTGACATTATTTTCGCCAAAGTGAACTCCGCAGGGCCCGCACCGGCTCAATCAGCGCTAATAGGTACGCTCTCGAGGCGAACGCAAGATCGAATTCGGCCAATTCATGGAAGCCCTACAGGAGGTGACTACTAGCGTTCATCGACTAGAGCGACATGTCCCGATTGACTTCAGGTGGCTGATCGTCTTGATAAGCCTATCTCCTGGGCTAAAGAAAAGGTGGTTGAATGCGATGGTCCGACTATTAGTAGGCGTTCCAGTACAGCCAGCCCAGTTAAATCTACTAGTGAGTTCAAACTATTGAGTTCGTGTGCTCTGAAATACATTTGCATGGTGGTTCAGGGACTAGTGTCGGGCCCTCGACCGCCCTGCCTCCCGCTAGGCCAAGCATTGATGCTGGTTCAGATAGGAAAGTAAGCTCGTATGCAACAATCAGATCACCACTGACATATGGCAATTCTGTGTCTCATTATTAACATCATAATACTAACATATAAACACTGGATGCTCTTTCTCAGTCGATACGAGGCCCAGAGAGGTTCTTCTACGATCAATCTTCTTATACGGGAGTAACTGTTTTTCACTGGTCGTTTCCCATTGAACATTGGAGCGCAGGTGTGGCGTAATGGTGGGCCGCAAACTGTCGATACTGGCGCTTCGAGCCAGAAGGCTGCACAGAAGGTCACTACAACTGTTCGGTTGTGATGATCTCATCCTTGCTGCGTGTAGGCTCCGGCAACTGAAGTGACCAAGAGGGCTAGTGGAAGCACCTCGACGCCCGCTGGCAAAGTGAGGCGGTGACGGCTATCGATAGGAATATTTGTTCTGGCAGGGTCGAGGACCGGAAAGATTCTTCTATGATACGTCAACTTACACTGGGGTGAGTTGTTTCGACTCGAAGT